TAAGAGACAGGTGCAGAGACAGACAGAATGAAGAAAAAATGACAGTATAAAATCTGAATGTGTATTTCTAATATTTCACATATATATATAAAGCTTAGATCACACATTTACTTTTTTGAAACTGCAAAAGACAACATCCCAAATACACAGTTATCCAAGCATAAACCAGAAACTGCTGACTCGTATGAAAACAAAAATTCTCACAAACAAAACACTATGGTTATGGTTGAATGCTCGATGTTCCTATTTGGCAACTGCTTGCAGTTCTATCTAATTATACCGCATTTTAGTTTTGACTGAGTACTGTCTTCATATATTCATATATTCAGCAAAGTTACCAGCTTTCCTGGAAATAATAGTCTAAAATTTTTATTTGGCATAACTAGCTCTTCTTCTAAACTTTAATCAAAGTTATACCAGATTTTTGTTCTCTCTTAGGAGAGTGGGAAATATCAATTACAGACTCAGCGATAACTCTTGGAAATGTTGGTTACATATGAAAAGTCCTGACTTCGGTATGTTATTTTTGAATTAGAATTCTTGTTTCATTATTAATCCTTATCTTACAATACCAGATATTTAACAAGTTTACATATATGTAATCATTCATTAAATTTTAGTAATATCAAAAGAGATTATTTTTATGATGAATGTATTAGGGAGCTTAACTAATTATATTTTACTATAATGATGTAACATAAACAGTTGGAATTTGTATTACAATTTATTTTGGAAAATGCTAGATATATAAAAACAAAGGTCAAAAGTCATAGTGGATAATAGCTGATGGGTTTGATAATGCTAATTATATATTACTAAAGAATAAAGGTAGAAAGGGAAATATGAGCATTAAAAGAAAGATAAACATCCCAATGCTGAATTTAAAATGAAAAAAAAAGAAAAAAAAACTTTAAATGTCTTTGTAGCTCACTGTCATAAACCGAAGACATAATGAAGCCTGAATTAAAAATGTCAGTTTCTGTGAATGTTGATAACTTGGTTCTTTGTTGTACAAGTCAAAATGTGTCTGTTTGATGGGTTAAAATGACAGTCTGCAAATGGGAGAAGCTAGAGCTAAAAAAAGAAGACCTCCCCACTTCCCAAAAGACTTATAAAAAGTAGGCCCGTAATGCAGTACTTTAAGGAGGAAGACCTGTAGGGTAGAAGAGCCAGTATCTTTAGGAAGTAACCAAGCAGCACTAAAAGGCAATGTCCATGGCCAATCAAAACTATTTCTCTAGCTGCTGGGGCTCTTGCATCTCTGTCTTCACACTAGACTGGAAACCCTTTGTACTAATTGCCAGACTGTACCAGATTTTCTGGTTCAGTTCCATCCCATAATTGACCGACAATGATGGGCAAGGAAGGGGAAAAATTCAGGCTCACCACTGCAAGCATAGGGTCAGAAATGGTTTCATAGGGAGCACATCACTGCTTGGCACTAAATGCAGGGTTAAGCAAGCATCATCTGTACTTTCTTCTAATTCCTAGGTTAAAAGGGGGATGGGAAAAACATTCACGCTGTAGCAGGGTAATGAGAAGATTTTGAAAGCTGGCATATCTTCTGCAAAAATCTTCCACAGAGACAAGAAAATGCCTGGAGGATTTTTGGAAGTTGGTCTCTAAGCGCAACATCAGTATATCACTTATATTAAAATAAATAAAGCAGTTGTGAAATTCTGCTACTCCATAAAACCCCTCCCCACATTTACAGTAAGTATTTGCCTATAAAGTTACTTTTCCAAGCAATTAAAATAATTCACAAGCTTATGTACAGAAAAGATCCAAATAGAAATATAAACATATAGAAAATAATTTGTAATTAAAAAGATAGAAATATTTTAACATAAAATGCATATATTAAAGTTAAGCATTTAACAATACACTTTTAAATTCAGAACTAAATATTCACTGTGCATCTAATCTAGTTCACCGCAGCTTATACATTTGTACATTCTTATCATTATAGGGTCTTTTGCTTATTGCTGAATTGCTTTAATAAATCTAGGAAAAACTTAATTGAAGAGGAAAAAAACCACAAATTCTTCCAGAAATTGGACTAATGACAGAATCTTTCTGATCACGAATCTTATTTACCCTCAATTGTTCTCCGCCCACTTTATTTCAAGCACACAGCACCCCCAATAGCATTTCCACAAAACATTAAGACAGTCCTGAGACCAAAGTAAAAAAGAACAAGAAGAAAGAAAGAAAGAAAGAAAGAAAAAAAGAAAGAAAGAAAGAAAGAAAGAAAGAAAGAAAGAAAGAAAGAAAGAAAGAAAGAAAGAAAGAAAGAAAGAAAGAAAGAAAGAAA